TGGCTTACCTCCCGAATATGACATAATCAAGACTGTCTTGATTGCACGAGATACTTCATTGTCTCTCAAGGATTTCAGAGCACAGCTTCTCGCAGCCGAACAAACTGCTGAGGCTCGTATTGTTCATCATACTACGTTATATGCGACTAATTCATCTTGTGCTCAAGGTTCCTCTGTGTCTTCAGGACAGGGTATTTTACGTACACCTTCTCAGCCTTTACCACATGTTCAGTCTTTTGGTGGTCACTAGAGTTCTTTTTCTCGTGCCTCTGGTTCTCGAGGTTTTTCTGCACAAACCTCTGGTTGTGGGAGGTTTAATGGTGGTCGCCATATCTCTTCTCAATTTCGGGGTGGTGGTACTTCTGGTTTTCCTGGAGGTTCTAATTCCTATCGATCTCATGTGGTGCCTGAGTGTCAAATTTGCAGCAAGCGTGGACATACAGCTGCTAATTGCTATTATCGTCATGCCAATTCCTCCTCTTCTACTTCCAGCGTTGTTGAATGCCAAATCTGTGGCAAACGTGGGCATGGCGCACTTGATTGTTTCCACAGGTCAAACTACTCATTTCAGGGCCAAGCACCTCCTTCATCTCTAAATGCTATGATTGCTCAGACTTCTTTCTCTCTTAAGCACGTCTGGATTACAGATAGTGGTGCTTCTCATCATATGGTTGGCAATTCCTCTCAATTGGATCATGTGACTCCTTGTAATGTTGATGAGAATGTTACTGTTGGCAATGGGGCAGGTTTGACTATTCAGAATCATGGCACTGCTACTATCTCTTGTGCCCAATCTAATTCACTGCATCTTCAGTCTGTTTTGCATGTTCCGAAGCTCAAAGCAAATCTATTATCCGTCCATCAATTGTGTAAAGACAATAATTGTTTTATCACATTTTACATCTCTGGCTTTTATATACAGGACAAGATAACCAAGACAATTCTTCTTCAAGGCAAGAGTAATCAAGGTTTATATCCCATTCCTCTTTCTGCTTCTCAAAGATCTCGAGGTGTTTCTTCTATTTCTTCCACTCCAGTTGCATATCTTGGACAACATGTCAACGTCTCTATCTGGCATCAAAGGTTAGGGCATCCAACAAATACTGTTGTGCAAAGAATGCTTCAAGATTCTGCTTTATCTGTTTTTGTTGATACTTCTCAAGCACTATGTACTGCTTGTTTACATGGTAAAATGCACAAGCTTTCTTTTCCTAAGGATCATATTAAGTCTAATGTTCCCTTTCCGAGGATACACAGTGATGTATGGGGTCCTTCTTGCCATAAATCCATAGATGGTTTTCGATACTATGTTAGTTTCATTGATGAATGTACTGGTTACTTATGGCTTTATCCACTGTTTAATAAATCTGGAGTGTTTGAAGAATTTCTCAAGTTCTATGCTCTTGTCACTAATCAGTTTCAGGCTAATATTCAGTATTTTCAAAGTGATGGGGGTGGTGAGTTCATTAGTAGGCAATTTTCTTCTTTTTTGGATTCAAAAGGGATTATTCATCAGGTCTCTTGTCCATACACCCCTCAGCAAAATGGTTTGGCAGAGAGGAAGAATCGCCATATTATCGAAACTGCTCTTACTTTACTAGTTGCTTCTGCTCTTCCTGATAAGTTCTGGTTTCATTCAGTTGCTCATGCTACTTATCTCATCAATCTTATGCCTAGTTCAGTTTTAATATATCAGTCTCCTTTTCAAAGCTTGTATGGCAAGGTTTCTGATATTAAATCTCTTAGGATTTTTGGTACTGCAGTTTACCCATATATCAGACCTTATAATGAACATAAGCTTCAGCCAAGAACAGCTCAATGTGTTTTTATGGGATATTCTCCAGGTTATAAAGGGGTCATTTGTTACAATAGATCCACCTCAAGGTTTGTTGTTTCCAGACATGTCATTCATGATGAAACTGTTTTTCCTTTTAAGTCTCATTCCATCTCAGCAGATTTAGTTCCAATTTCATGCTCTTCTCAGACTCAGCCTTTACCAATTTGTGTTTCACTTCCTCCATGTATCCATGCTTTAAATCCTAGTGATATATCTGGTTTTATATCTTCTCAACATGTTTCTTCATAAAACCATAGTTCACAGAATGATTCTATTTCATCTTTAGAATCTACTGAGAATCCTGCCTTGTCTTCCAGTGATTCAATCTTATCTGCAATTAATGATCAGCAACTACAATTTCTCTTGCCTGCCTCCCCTTCTGTCTCTAGTTCTATGTCTCCTCCTGTTAACACTCGTGCTATGCATACTAGATCAAAGGCAGGTATCGTTAAGTCTAAACAGTTTGAAGATTATCAGTGTTATTATACCACTCTTCCTGTTATACATGATGCTACTGAACCAGCCACTTATAAGGTTGCTTCTCAATCTGTTCATTGGATTCAAGCTATGAAGGACGAAATTGAGGCATTACATGCTCAGGGTACTTGGGAGTTAGTTCCTAAGCCAGTTCATAAAAATATTGTTGGTTGTCGATGGGTATATCAAATTAAGAAAAACTCATATGGTACTTTGGCTAGATATAAGGCCAGATTAGTTGCCTAAGGCTTCAGCCAAGCTCCTAGACTGGATTTCAGTGAAACTTTTAGCCTTGTGGTCAGACACACCACAGTAAGGTTGATATTAAGTATCGCAGCGATGAACCGATGGTCACTTCGTCAACTTGATGTTAAGAATGCATTTTTACACGGTGATCTTGAGGAAGAAGTCTATATGCATCAGCCACAAGGTTTTGAGGATCCAAAACATCTCAGTTATGTTTGCAAGTTATGGAAGTCTCTTTATGGTCTTAAGCAAGCTCCAAGGGCTTGGAATGCCAAATTCACAGGTTATCTTCCAGCCATTGGTTTTGAATCATCTCACTCTGACCCTAGCTTATTTGTGAAGCATCTAGGTTCATATATTGTGATCCTTCTCTTATACGTGGATGATATAATATTGACTGGTTCAAAGGTGGCTTTGGTGCAAGAAGTTGTTGATGAATTAAGCTCAATTTTTGATATGAAAGATATGGGGAAGTTGAAATATTTCTTAGGATTACAGATTTCATATAATACAGCTTGAGATATTTTTGTTAACCAGGCTAAATATGCCAAAGATTTGCTTGCTAAGGCTGGTCTGAGTTCATGCCGACCTTGTCCTACCCCTTGTAAACCACATGATCAATTGTTAAAGACTGAAGGTGATGCTTTGACTGATCCTACAATCTACAAAAGCATTGTTGGTGCATTACAGTATTTAACATTTACCAGACCTGAAATCTCTTATGCTGTTAACACAGTATGTCAGTTCATGGCTACTCCTTCAAAGTTACATTTTCAGTTAGTTAAGAGGATTTTGCGCTATCTTCAAGGTACCTTGGATCATGGACTTACCTTTACTAGTGGTGCTTGGGAACTTAATGCTTACAGTGATGCAGACTGGGCAGCAGATATAAGTACTAGACGGTCTATCACTAGTTTTGTGGTTTTCTTAGGCCATAATCCTATCTCTTGGCAATCTAAGAAACAGAACTCAGTCTCCAGGAGTTCAACCGAAGCAGAATACAGAGCATTGGCTCATACAGCAGCAGATTTGGCCTGGATCAGACAAGTTTTGCTTGATTTGAAAGTGTTTCTACCTCAGCCTCCTACTATACATTGTGACAACCTTTCTGCTCTAGCATTGAGTTCTAATCCTGTGTATCACTCACGAATCAAACATCTTGATATAGACTTTCACTTTGTTAGAGAAAGAGTACAAAGAAGAGATCTCTCCATGCAGTATATTCCAACAGATGAACAGGTTGCAGACATATTTACGAAAGGGTTACACAGTCCAATCTTCACAAAGCATTGTGGTAATTTACGGCTTGGGAACCCAGCTGGATTTGAGGGGGAATGATAGAATACCCACGTGCTATTCACGTGTTAGTTTGTTAAGCTGTTAGTTACTTAAGCCTTCAGTCTTTATAATTGTATATAAGCTAAACTGTGCTTTGTAATATTCATTCAGTAAATAACCAAACAGAAAAATCTCAATGTATTCTCTCTGGATTTCAGTCTTCTTCTTCCTTTGTTTTTTGCCAAATACCTCTTCTGTTATCAGGAGGTTGCATTAGATTGGGGAGTTGGTATGATAGGAGCTTCTGTATGATTTATATTTCTTTCCTGTCAATTTACTGTCCCAATAATGATCGTTAAACTTACTTTTACTTGAAAATCCCTTAAGAATCTAGCAAAGCAAAGAACCAAAATCGAGCAGCTTTACTATTGTTGTGAAAAACATAGCTGAGAAAAATACTGCAGATGGAGATGTAATCAAGGAGCAAGGCGCGACATCATCAAACAGCTACTCAGCTGTGGAGGACTCTCAAAATAACCCACAAGATATAAGCAAGAGCAAGGAGGATGGCACCAAAACAGTACCATATTTACAAGTTTTTCTCCTTTGCTGAATCCTTGGATTACATGTTAATGAATGTTGGTACAATCAGTGCTATTGGAAATGGGGCCGATGTGATTAATTCCTTTGGAGAAACTAGGAATAATAAAGACAACAATAGTTGTAGGTTTAATATGATGAGTAAGGTGTGCTTGTAATTATTAAAATACTACGTTTGTTTCATAATTCTTTTTGGTCATTTTATATTAGGATAAATTAATAATTCAATAAATAATTTGATAACTCAGTTAATCTAAGGTTTCATTTAACCGCACTCATTTAAAAATCACATAAGTCGAATCTATATTAATTTATAATTTTAGATCTCTGAAACTAGATGTATGATGAATGGATCTGATGAATCATGCGATGTGTAATTGTCACTTGCTGAGCGAAACGGCGTCGCTTGTGAAATATATTTGAAAGTTGCCTGCTCTATTGTCGGTCACAACACAAGACAAAAACTAGTAAATCAATGACGAGTGAAGCGACGTCGTTGTCAGGGTTGGCTTGCAAATAATATCAAGCTGGGAAAAATCCGCCAAAGCAGAGGAGGATTCTCATACGCCAGTTAACAATTAGCAGCCAGAAATATTCTCGAAATTTAGAATCAAATGGAATCTCTCCATCTCCATATAATAATTGGTGGCCTCAGAGTCCCTCAAATATTCAATAACATCCCCAAAAATCCTTACTTGGATATCATTTCTTTCTGTCAAGACCCTGTTTGGTTGCCGGGAAAATTGAGGAGCAGAACAGATAAAGCAGAAAGCTTTCTTTCCCAGGTTTCATATTTCACTTCAATCAATCAATTTTCATTTTATATGTGCTTGTTTGTGATTAGAAAACTATTGGGTGTTGCTTAATTTTGATTTTGGTTTTTGGGTTTTCTTAAAGGTTATTGCTTTGTCATGGTCCAAGTACTGCAATGATGCTGATGGTGTATGCTGTAGGAGCTATTACATGCTTAGACTCTAATATTCAACTGCATGAGGCATTGCCCTGCAAGACTACCCATGTGAATTTCTTGAACAAAATTTCAATTTGTCTTAGCTCAACTGGAGCTCCTTGTAATTCTATACTCTCTGCCTCCTGCTTTTCTTGGAGAAACCGTGTTCAGCTAAACAGCCCCAAGAGATGGCTTGTAAGTGTTTGTGCTAGTTTCTCTCTTTTCTCAAAGATTTTTTTTTTTTTTTTTGTTCTTTTGGGATTTATAAGAGTGTTTGATGTGTTTTACTATGACCCATTACAGTGCAGGATGCATGATTCGAGTTCTTCAGATGATGAGTATCGATCCTCACGCAACATAGCAATCAGTTTGTTTAGGCGGTACAGGAATGTGGTTGACCGTGGAGGAGGTGCCAACCTAAAAGTACATTCAGTGTTTTTCATGAACTGCATATTTGTGAGGTTTGCTTTGTATACTTTCTTTTCCGATTACCGTGTTTGTTTTTGGTTGATCAGGAGTTCATCAGTGCTGGGGTGAATGCATATGCGCTGGGCTGCACAGATGAGGGGTTAAGGAAAGAACTTGTTGATATGAAAGAATCTGGTGTTGAAATTGAAGGAATGCAAAGCTATGGTGGAACCACCAGTTTGAAATCCAAGATTGCATCAGAGGAGGTAAGTCACTCCTTCCTCCTTGAACTTGAACCACTTGTTAAAACGGAACCTTGTTTAGCTATATTCACAAGTTATCTGATTGTCTTAAGATTGTAAAGTTAATTTTGTAGCCATTCTCTTTAGAAACAAAGAGGTTCATCTGTTTATATTTGAGATCTATTTACTAGTCATCGTCTAGTGCTGGAAATTTGAGAAGCTGGCTATGCCTGTTAAGGCTTCTGTTGGTCATACATTCTACTGTGTGTGAGGTGACTAGTTAACTAAGTGGAATTCCATTCTTCCTTTTTGTTTTCACAATGCAGGTTGAGGAGTGCATTCTGTGGTTGAGCATTATATTCATCACCATCCTGTGTACACCACAGCCAACAATAGTTAGGTGGTCATCCACACCTCCAGTGTCAGATGAAGAAAGGCTTAAGTGGAAAGGTTTTTGTGCACTCATAGCAAATGCGTATTACGTGAGAGGAATGGCATGGTAAGATGCTTTCAGCATATTCAATTCCTACTTTGAGTTATATGTTGTTATTCTTATTAAACATGGATGTATTGATGTATCCAAACCCTTGCTTGAAATTCATGTAATTTCTTATGCAAGCAAGCTCACCAATGCATATGTTCCTCAAGCACTTCATGCTAAGACAGCAACTTATCAACTTCCATTTGGCCTTTTCAATAAAACTATCAGGCATTTTTAACTACTGTTTTCTCGCAATATAAGTAGTTTCTGAATGTGTAAATTTTTTGTTGAAGGCTTCCGGTAAAGACGCTTCAACTAGAGCAAATGGCAGTGGTTGGACATGCTGAGGAACCTTCAGTTGTTGCAAGTCGAATGCGATTAGTTTTTAGCACACTTGAGGTTAGATAACTAGAGTACATTTTCCAAGTAACTAAATGAGAAGGTTATGTGTTAATGAATTATTTGCATGTGCAGGTTGTGAGTCCACAGTGGCCTAGAGTATAGTGCTTCAATTTCAAAAACAGATGTCATGCTGGCCTTACTATGAAATTTTCAGTATGTAAATCAATGTAGCCTAAACATCCTTTCTATTTAGAAAGGAAAGGGGGGAAAATACTTTAACCTGATATTGGAAATTGTTGATAAATGTGAAGAATGTCACTGTTTTTGTTCAGGTTATTTATCACATGCTCTTCCAAGGGTTAGAAAAATTAGTTTAGCTGCTATTCAATTGATGTTTTTCTTAAATAATCAATGCAAACATCTAGGGAAGATTGGTCAGCAACTTACAAAGCAAGTCATCTACATCATCATTTCTACCCCCTTCTCTCTCCTCTATGTGGATATTGACTGCAATATCTATGGGTTGATTGACTTGCACCACAAGTTTCCACATTCATGCTGTATAAAACATAATTTACTGTAAAATAATGTGATCATTTTCCACTGAAAGAGCCATGTTCCCAAGTTCTGCAGCTCTGCAATTCTAAATCTAACGGCAGCAGCATCATTAACATGACAATTCAAACCTCTCTCAGCACCTGTAACATATATACTAGCCTGATTCTTATATCTACTCAAAAGTATCATCCACAGGGATGGATGAACTCCAAATTGCATGCATCATTTTCCACATCAACCTACAAAAGGTAGACAACAAAAAGAGATGAGAAAAGTTGAAAACCTTGGACCCTCTCCTTGAATACATTTGCTTTGAGAGTTTAGCTTCATTGAAGACATAGTTGGGTCCCTTTTCCACTTGTTCCAACACAAAAGACAATTTTTGAAAAGAAAAATATTACCCAATTGACCTACAAAATTCATTTTAATATTGATCACAACATCATGCTCTACCTTACTAAGCCCATCTCTTCTGTGGAGTTGCTGGAGTAGCATCCTTTCGTCCAGGGAGAGAACGCCTTTTAATTATCTTTCTCGAATCTGCACCAGCTGATAATTGCCTTGGCCTTGAAGAATGAATTGTACTGGATTTTTTTCCAGGACTCATTGGCTGAGATTTTGGACTTGCTGGTTGAGATTTTGGACTCATTGGCTGAGAGTTTTTGCTTACTGAGTGTACTGGCCTTGGACTCATTGGCTGTGGTTTCTTGCTTACTGAGTGTACTGGCCTTGAATTCATAGTTATCTCTTTTAGAGGATTCAATGATTGATATTTTATGTGACTGGCAGTTGGTTTCACCATAGAAATTGAGGCTTTTTCCGGCACTAGTTTTTGGCTTGTTGAAACAGAGTCATGAACCTGAGGAACCTCTGGATATTTACAACTAGGAGGAGCTTTTGTTCGATTCACAGGAGAGCAGTCTGAATCAGAGGATGAAGGGCTAGTAGTACTATCCATATCATAAAGGAGGTTGTCTGTCATGTACGGAGTTTGTATATCATGTGAGTTTGAGGAAGAGAAAGAGGGTCTCTGAAGCCTTGTAAGGTGTACTACCTGTATTTAGATATTTAGACATAATTAATTCAAAAGGCAAAACACTTTTTCCCTAAATTCTGAAACCCCATGTCTCACCCAGCAGCTCCTTACCTTTTGTTCTAGAACCACCATGTCCCTCTTTAGTCTTGTAATTGTCGAGTTCTTCCTACGTATTATGTCTTCCAACTCTGCAATCCTCTGTCATGAGTGATAAGGATAACCCAGATCAATCAAAGAAAAAATTTGGCAAGGAAAGAAGGAAACAAGAACAAAACAGGGAGGTTACCTTTGAACCAGCATTTTCAGATGACTGGAGTAAAGAGGTTAGGTCCTGTATGGTCCCATCTTTCTCTTCACAATCCTTCTTGAGATTGTATATGTCTTGTTCAATGGCTAAGGTGTTTAGCTGTGGAAATTACAACAAATTACATCAAGCACATGAAAAGTGATACCTTAGAAAATAGAAATTGTTTGATAATTTAGGCAACATATAATTCCATTGGGTAGTTACAATTTTCAAATAGCATTGAAAGAATAGCAACAAAAGGAGAGTGAGTAAAAACTGCCATTGAAACATAGATCTAGCAGTTCAACTTTTGCTTGGGAAGAAAATCAGTTAAGTGTTTCGAAACTCTTTTTCCACTCAGAAATTTTTATGAGAAACAAGTGATTAAACGAGAAACTTATGGCATATTTGGTTACCTTTGTTGCAAAACTATGCTTTGCTTAATTATAAGAATATTATAAACTTGTATCAGCATGGTTATATCTTTCTATCAGTTCCTTGACAAAGGTCCAATGAATTTGAAATGATAATGTACATGGGAACCTTCCGTTACCTGGATGTCTGCAGCAGAAGTGACACTTGATGCCAGGTCTGATAAATCAGACATACGGCGCTCCTCTTGCTCTTGTACAATTGGGAGAGACATCTTATATTGCAGTGTCTCATCCCCATTGGAGGCTTTCATAACATTGTTACCCTGATACCAAATTAAGAGATGAGCAAGATTCAAGATTTCAGCATTACCATCACAAACTGTGATTTCCTAGTTTACATTACAGAAGAACCTATTTATCTGACATAGAACAAATACTTACCCCCAACCCATTTTGAAGGTCACGATGTTGATCACAAAGCCAACAACCACAATCAACAAATTTGATTTTATGAGAACCAAATGATTCATTGCTTTGCAATTCTGCGTTTTCGAGGGTGGAAGGCTCCACGGTTGCTGAGTGGTCCTTAATGTTATTCATCTGCTCGCACAGGCTGTCAAGCTTCTGCTGCATGCTTGATAATAGCTGATCCTGGTAACAGAATACAAATAATCACTCATAGATTCAGGAAACAACGTTTCATCAATTGAAGTTGCTCAGCATTTAACAAAATATACTAAGGAGATTCAATTGACTAGAAAGATTGATGTTTTACTCAAGGAATATCAAATCTGAAACAATACAACAAAAACCAAAAGCAGAATCAGTAAAAATAATCATATGTCAATTTAGAAGTAGACTGTAGGCCTCTATTAAATTTAGAAATTTAAAATTAAACATGTTAAAAAAACAAGCTTTTACAAGATCCAAAGGGAATTGATATTGAAAAAAAAAACATCCAATTATGAATAGAATCCCTAATAATTCTTCACACAATGATAACTACATAACAAGAACCGTTAAGATAAGTATAAAGAATTACGCAAGAAATCATCAAAGTACCAACATTTATTACTGAGAAAATCTAAAGATTCATTTTTGAAACAAACCCAATTCAAAAATTAAAAAGAAAATTCAATAAACCTAATTAATTAAAGCTCAATTATCACAAACCCTAAGTTCCACAGATTTCGTTAGCTGTGTAATGTGGCGGTTTTTCTTTGACTCTGCAGCGGCGACACTTATCACGGCAACAAAAAGGAACCTCTGGATGGGGCTAAACAACTCCCAAGCCACGGCTTGCTCGGGGTTCAAGCCACCTTTAATGGCTCGAGCCGAGCTGGCCTCGTCGGCATTGACGAGCCGACCATCGAGGGAGACCCATGCCAGCTTCCGACGAGCCGGCACGGGTCGACTAGTCTCATTGAAGCTGCTGGAGAGGCGGCGCGTAGAAGAGGGTGCCAGTATTGGGGTTAAGAAGACTCGAGCCGAGCCGAAGCCGAAGCCGAAGTCTTGATGGGCTACTTCCATGGCATGAGTGGCGGAGAGGAGAGAGAGAGAGAGAGAGAGTGATTGAAGCGACCAGGATTTGAATGCCAAAGTCTGGTTTTTGGTTTTTTTTTCGGTGATCTTTTTTTTGTTGGGTTGCGAAGTTTTTAATTCAAATGTTTTTAAAATCGAGAGGGAAACCGCAATAACCGTTTGGCCAACGTCCCTTAAGACCTTGGAATTTTTCTCTTTTCCTTTTTTTGAGTTGCGACTTTTCTGATTTCAATTTGTTTTTCTTGTTTCCAACAACAAAAAAAATTGTTTTTTATTGTTTTATTGTCATTTTTCTTTTTCTTTTTTAAACAAAAATTTCTCTAACGTTTACACAAAAATGAATTCGATATATATATATATATACACACAAATTGATGTTCTAACAGTTATATCAAATTCTTTAATTATTTACCTGATAGTTGAATATTGATACTAATGTACACTTTAAAAACTAAAAAAAAGCAAAATTTATAGTGAAAATGCATTGTATTTGGGTGGGGGATAATGCAAATAGATTGTTAAAATGAAATTGTTTTCTAAATAAACCCTGGCTAGACTCTGTCAATTTATGCTTTAACTTGGTACGTTCGTAATGGTTTTGACCGTGGTGTACATATAAAAACATGCCTCAAGTGGTGTGGAAGAGATGAGAAAAGGTTGCAAACACTTGACTGTGGTGTAAGTATAAGAACATGTCCCAAGTGATACGATCCAAATGAGAAAAAGTTGCAAATTCAGTGACACTCAAATCAATTTTTGTAAAAGAGAGGAAAAATCTCATACAAATGGAGAATATTAAAGATTTCATGATATGAATCCCTCATATTTGGAATGGAACTTATGTGTGGATTTTCTCACTTCGCTTGTAACATTTCTATTTTCATTTTGTATTTATCGTTCATGAAAAAGAAAATTGAATGCTATGAAACAAGATTAAAAAAAAGGGGGTAACTTTCATTGTAAAAAAATGAATTTGTTTGGTTTTGTTTTTTATTTGTGGTAAGAAAATTGAATGCTTTGAAACAAGATTACAAATAAGGTTGAAACGGAAATTTTTAATAGGAAAAAAAAATTATTTTGATATAGGTGATAGTCTAAACTTAAGGAAATTATGATTCATTATTATTGAAGATAAAGCTAATATATACAATAAATAATGGGCATATGTGAGGGACTACCTGTACAAGTTGTTATAACCACATTAACTAATTTCTTACAAAAGTAAGTAATTACAAACTAATCTAATCAGCTAACTACTCTCTTTATAAACTAATTTATTTGAAACATATCCGAACTTCGGTCTAAAAGGGTAGACCATAATCAATTGACCTAACTCACTTTAGCGGAAAACAAAAATATCTAATTGTGATTAAAAAGAAATTTAATTAGCTTTTTTTTTTCTATTCAATGGGTGCAAAACTTCAAATAGCCAAACCATTGGGCTTTAATCATGTAACCTTTTCTTTGATTCAATTGACTGGTAGAGCC